GCTAAACTGTATCATCCAAGAGAACATTTACAGATTAAACTGGAAGGCCAACAAATGGATATAAATAGAACAAATGATGTGGAATGCTTATTTCTATAGTGTTCTGAAACCTTTGTTTCATGTTTGTTGCTATGGCCAAAGAATTTATTACCAGGTGGCCAGAGTACTGGTGATGAACATCTGAACGCTCAACCTGGCCAGTCCTTAAAAAAAAGTACAAGACCATTTTTAAAACCTTTCCAGTATAGTATAACCTGCCAGAGCTTGTGCCCTACTAGCATAACTTTTGAGGACCCAGATTCATCTCTGTGCCATGATTAGAGTACGCCTTCGTGGCAGAGTGAAAACTGGCTATACACAAGGATGTAAAACTGAAGACGGATTGGATCAGCACCACTGGAGGGAGCACTTACATAAATTAAGTCATAAAGTATTAAAGTATTTTTTCCTTGGTGATGAAACCAGAGTTCAAACCACCACATTTGTATCTTATCGGCTCAGAAATAGCAATGGCACGTGAATGGCTGATCAAATATATATGCTGAAGAAATCTGTTTTGGAGGAGACAATATTAAAAACACAGAGGCACTGATTTATAAGACATCTAGAGGAAGAGAAGATTTCAAAAGATTGGGAAAGATAATTGATGGAACCAGTTCTGTACCACTGAAGATACCAAAACAAGTGACTGAAAAAACATCAACAACTAGTGATGCATATGCCTACGTTGTCATCTTTATAAACATTTTATAAGAATGTTTCATATATGATCAAGGGTATCTTTCATGAAAACATTAGACAGGAACAAGCAACTTGAAGTGTTTTGTTGATACCTTTTATTTTAACACCACGTTCATTTCCAAATATATACTTCACCTTCCTTAAGCAAGTCTTCTCTTTTTCTTACAAAGATTGAAAAAGGAAAAAAAATTCAGCAAAACCAACACCATGATTCTGTCTGACACTGTATACAATATTAAACAACCATAGTTCATCTCTTAGAGGGAATATTCATGTCAATGAGACTCTTGATTCCAAAGAAGCATCAGTTGGGTAAAGGCAATATAAAAATGAAACCCAACAGTAGTTAGGGCCCTGAAAGACCTTGTAATCTAGGGCAGGGGGAATATAATCATCCAATTATTTAGTGACTCATCTGATTTCTCATTACAAAGCCCTCCTGGGGCATCATTAGTACACTTTCAGAACAGTTCCCAGTCCAGGGATAATTTCTATACTTTTAAAAGAGCCTAACTGGGTCACAGGATCATAGACTTAAGCACTGGAAAGGACTTTATTGTTGTTGTTGAGTCATTTCAGTTGTTTTGACTCTGTGACCCCATTTGAAGTTTTCTTGGCAAGGATACTGGAGTGATTTGCCATTTCCTTCTCCAGCCCATTTTACAGATGAGGAACTGAGGCAAATAGGGTTAAAAGGCTTGCCCAGGGTCGTGCAGTATCTGAGACCACATTTGAACTCAAGAAGGTAAGTCTTCCCGATTCCAAGCTCTGTGCTTTATCCACTGTATCATATCAAGTTCAATTCAATTATTTCACAAGAGAGAAAACCGAGGCTGAGAAGTTATGTGATTTGCTGGTTTCTATAATTATAAAGTATCTGGGGCAAGATTAGAGGAAGAACTCTACGCATTTCATCAATATCCCTTGCAAAAGGAAGTGCCTTAATATAGACCTGGAAAGGTTTGGAATACCCGGCAGTCCAATGCAGGGAAAAGAGGTAATCTCCCTTACCTGCCATTTCTGTTTCAATTCCCCTGAACAAGACGCCTCTTTCAGGATAAATTGAACATTTCAAATCTCATCACAGTGCTGCTAATTCAGCCTTGTATACTCAACACCTTCCCAACTCCCTTAGCCTCTTCTCTCTCGTGGAGGGCTGGAGGGGGAAGCATTAAACTTCTCCCACAGCTCTGCTGCCGGCCCCACCCCCCCATCCTCCTTCCACTTTCCAGCTTCCTTTAGTACCTTCCCCCTTTAGATTAAGCTCCTTGAAGGCAGGGATTATCTTTTTCTTATTTGTATCTCAAATGCTTAGCATAATGCCTGGTGTATAGTAGGCGCTTAATAAATGTTTATTGAATTGAACGTTGTTGCCAGGGTTGAAAAAGGCAAGGGGCATACATTTTGGGGCAGGACCCCTAGTCACAGCCCTGGTGTTGGGAAGAAGGAAAGGGCTCTGCTCATAGGGCAGCAATCCAGCTCATGCTGACTACATTTCCTAACTCAAAAATCTTGGGACATAGTCACAGCTCTGGACAATGGTCATAGTTCATGCCTCTGAGGCCACTGCAAATGTAGTATGTTGAGGTTTAGGGGTGCTGGGACCCCGAAATCACAACACACAGGTCTTTCCTGAATGAATTCGACCCTAGCCTTCTTTTAGCCGAAGACAAGGTTTTTAGAACATCAATCGTATTGGCCAGAATCTTAAGAATCTGAGTACCTTAACAGAGACAAGATGGACCTTATGTACAGAAAGACTGTGGGAGAGATCTGAGAGATCAAGTAGTCTCCAGGGACTGTGAGGTAATAGAATGCCAGGGACCTGGACCAGGAGGCCAAGAGAGAATGAGCCTAGCTACGATTAAGGGTGGGAAGTGGCCGGGTGGGAAGTGGCCGGGGGCCTGAGGTAAGACAAAGGAGGGCTAGGTTAGGTTAAGGGTAACTGAATTGGGAGACTGGGTGTAGCCATAATGAAAAAACCAGTTGATGGGATTACAATCTCAGGCAAACGCCAGAGATTTGGCCATGTGGGAAAGTCCAAGGTTTTTCCTTTCTGGGGTCCAGATCAGTAGACCCCATCAGTAAACAGAGAAAGTGAAGCAAGTAAGCTTTATTGAGGAGAGATATTAAGAAAATGAAAAAATGGTCATGGTAGAGGGACAAAAGGCAACATGCAGGGGTCCTAGATGGAGTTGGGCACCCCAACATGAGTCAAGCCCAGTGGATTTAAAGAGTTCATATCAGGGTCAAACAGGACCAGACACTGGGGGCAGGGAGCTGTGAGGTCAGACCTGGGGTTGACTCCAGTTGGGGAAATCATAGTGGGATTTGGCAGCTAGCTGATATTAAAATTCCCCAATAGAGGATAAGGGAAGGAATGCAGGAGGAAGGAAGGAAATAAGTATTGTGCTATGTTCCAAATACTGTACTAAGTGTTTTACAAATATTTTTGATGGGGATGGCACCTGGACCCTAAAAGGAAAAGACATGGTCCCCTGAACTTACTTACACACACACACACCACACACACACACACACACACGTCCTACTGGATATATAAGTTTTGTTTTTTCCAGCTCTGAATCTGTATTTCAGCCGTTAAGCCACAAACTCCCATACACCCTACCACCACTCTTCAGAGGAAAAAACTTAAATTTAAAAGACAACTGAATGGCTATGCATTATATCCAAGTATCTCCAAGGTTAGATTTAGATGCAAAAAGTATTTCCAGAGTTCAAGGTAGTAATTTTCAAACTGCTCTGCTAAAATAAATTGAATTCTTTTCAGGTTATTATCAAATTCGAAAAAACCACTCAACTTCTCACATGGGTTCAAGGTCCATCAGATCCAGACTCTGGGCAAGTCAATTAACCTCACAGTACTACCCCTCCCCACCCAACTCTTCAAGCTTTATTTGCAAAGCGTCTGTTGATCTGTATTAGTTGTATAAATGTTCTTTTTGGAAGTCAGCTGTCAATGAAATCGAAGGCTCTTTTCTAGTCTGATGGAAACTAAAAAATAAACCCTCCTAAGTAGTATTCAAAATTCACAGATTAAAACATTAAAGAACGCTATATACTATGAGAGGACATCCTTTGGTATACATCCTTAAGCCGAAATTCCAACTGCTCAACAATTCTAATGACTTACTATGAGAGGAGCAGCGGCTAAGCAAGGAGAGACTGGCCATCCAATGTTTACAGGTTTAAAGTTGGAAGCAGCTTTTGAGGTTATCTAGTCCAACTCTCTTAATTTTCAATTCAATAAGCATTTATTAAATGCCTACTACTGGCCAGACACAACGCTAAGTGCATTTCCAGATGAAGCAAAGGGAGGCCCAGAGAATCTGAGTTACCCCCAAAAGCATACAGCTATTAGGCTTGATACAAAGTAATGCAAGATATTGACAGGCCATGAGAGATGCAAAAGTCTCCGGGAGAACTCAGCACTTGTACAAGTTCATGACCAACGTTCCAAAAGGGTGTGGGATTCGGAGGCCTTTCTGGAAGAAGCGGCGTTCGTAACGACGTTTCAAGGAGTTGGGGCTCCCCTCTTTAAAAGGGGAGCTCACGGCGAAGCCCACCTCTCCGGCGTCAGTGGGGTGGGGGCCGGCGGGCTAGTGCCAGGATGAGTGTGGCTGCTTGGGGTGAGAGAAGCCTAGACGCAGGCAGGAAGACAAGGCTCTCCCAGCAGCCCGCAAAGCCCTGAGACGTTGCAAGACACCGCAGTGAGAGGAAGGAAATTATGTCCAGGTCTGAAAAGGTAGCAGGGCAACATCAGCTCTGGTTTAGGAAGGCGAGTCATAACAACCTCCTGAACTCGGCCTAACCCCGGAACTGAAGGGGCCTCTGCTCTCATCGGAGAACGAACACGACTAAACTCCGCGGCACATGCGCCGAGCGAACCGGCGCTACCACCTGCGTGGAGGGGGGGTAAGCGAGGCGAACCTGCGGTCCCGAATATACCAAAACGCGAAGCGGGAGGGAGGGAAGAAGGGGATCTTTTCTACTTTTAACAAGGGTGGGGCCGATCGTACTAGAAGAGTCTAGCGCTAGAACCAGGTAGGAGGATCAGCCCAAATCAGATCCTGCCTCGCCCTTTCACTTCCCAGCCCCTCCCTTCGGAGGCTTAGTCGAGGAAGGTCCCGCCCCTTTCAACCCTCTTTCCCACACTTCCACCCTAACCCCTTCTCCTATTCACTGAAGCTAGAAGCCGGAAACATAGAGCTCCACCTTCCCCGGTAGAAAGAGGGGCGGGCCGACGGATTATGTGCGCCCGGGCGCTTGCGCATGCGCTATGACCGGCCGCCGGCATCTCGTGTTTCCGATCGCGGGTAGCGGAGTCGTGTGGTATTTTAGCTCCCGCTGCGTGTGCGCCTGCGCTGAAGGCGCCTTATTCCCCACCTCCACTCCCCCTCCCTTCCCCCACGAGACAGGCGCCCCTCCCCCATTCCTTCTCCGTTTCACCCCCTCCCCCCCGCCCTATCTCTAGACCTAGCCCCCAGCGGGGGTTCTGGAGCGGGACCATGTTCACCAGCACCGGATCTAGTGGGCTCTGTGAGTACCGGCCGCGCCCCCCTGGCCCCGCCCCGGAGGAGACTTGGGGTGGGCGGTGGGGAAGGGGAAGTGGGTGTGTGGTTTGGGGGGGTGGGAGGGCGGAGAGTTCTAGCACCCCGGTAACACACTCCTCCACTGGGACTGGGGGCGGGGCGGGAGGGGTAGTCCTCGCGGGCACCGGGGTGGGCGTGACTCTGTCCCGCTCCGCTCCGTGACTCGGAGCTCCCGGAATCCTCCAGGGCTCCCCGCTTCCTCTCCAGCCGCTGGCCTAGCCCCTGCGACCGCGACCCCGGCCGTGACCCGCCGCTGCCCCGCGCCTCGGGAGGAGGGGGCGCCTTCCCGTGCGGCCCTGCTGGGCTGGGGTCGGCGGGTGGGGCTGGACCGGGAGCGTGAGCGTGAGCTTGGCTGGCCGCCTGGCGGAGCATCCCGACCCCCCAGCCCCAAAGTTTGTGTGCCGGTCTGTGCCCTGCCCAGTACCTGTCACACCAGGCTGCACAGGTGCTGCGGCAGGCCTCCCGATTTGAGAGACCCCCACTGAGTGTTTGCGCCGTCCTTTTTCTTCACCACACTGACTACTTTTTGTCCTTCCCTAGTTCGGGCATGCTTCCACCCCTGTATCTTCTCCCTCCCGCTCCTCTTTACCACGATCTTTGCTTTTTGTATACTTAGATTAAAAGCTGACATTTTCTTTTTAGTGAGGGGAGTGTTTTGGACACTTCTTGGGAGATGGCAAACTGATTTTTGCCGCTAAGTATGCATTGTAGATTTTCACTTGAATGAATGTTAGTGGTCAGCAGGTAGAGGGCAGAGGAGGACAGCCTTTTAACAGTTGCAAGTATGTGTGCAGGGCTTACTCTTAATTTGCAGGACTAGATTCGTGGATTCTCCAGAGGTATATTGTTTGTTTAATAAACTCTAATTAAGCTTTGACATAATAATAGCTAGCATTTATAGAATAATGAGATAATAATACACTCTAAGGACCATGGGATTTTTCTATCTAACTTGCAACGGAAATGTGGTCTTCTCCATTAGAATGTGGAGGACTGTCTGACTTTTCTGTGTATCCCCAGAATTTAGTAGTGCTTTGTGCATAGTAAATACTTAATAAATGCTTCATTTATTTATATGATACTTTAGGTCATCCAATAAAAAATAGTAGCATTTAAGTAACTATTTTAAGATTTGCAGTAATAATAATTAACATTATATAGTGCATTAAGCATTTTTCATGTCATCTCTTTTCTCTATTACTTCTCTATTACTGTTTAGGGTACCACCATCCTACAAGTTACTCAGGGGCACAGCCTAGGTATCATCCTTAGCTTCTTTACTCTCTCATCCTTGTGCCATCCAATCTGTTGCCAAGGCTGGTCAATTTTACCTTCTTAACATTTTTTACTTACTCCTCCTGCGCCTCTCTGATACTGCCATAACCCTGGTGTGGGTCCTTATCACCTCATGCCTGGACTCTTGCAATAATCTCCTTGTTGTCCATTTTGTTGCAAGTGTTTCCCCATTCCAATCCATTGTCCACTAAGCTGTCAAAAGTAATCTTCCTAAAGGGCAGGTCTGGCCATATCACCCTCCTTTACTTAGTAAATAAATTGGATTGGCTCCCTGTCACCTCCAGAATCAAATGTAAAACCTCTGGTGTTCAGAGCCCCTTATAACCTAGCACTAACTGCCTCCCCCAACTTTCCAGTTTTCTTACCCCTTACATCCTTCTCCCACATACTCTGTGATCCAGTGACACCAGCCACCTGGACACTTCTTGAACAAGACATTCCATCTTCCTACTTCAGGCATTTTCAATGGCTGTCTCCTTGTGTGGAAGTCTCTCCCTCTTCATTTTCACCTCCTGGCCTCCCTGGCTTCCTTCAAGTCCCAGCTAAAATCTCACCTGTTGGAAGCCTTTCTTCCTTCTTTCTAGTGCCTTCCCACTGTTAATTAATTCTAGTTTATTCTGCATATAACTTGTTTGTACATAGGTTTTTCATGTTGTCTTCCCTATTGTACTATACCATTATACTTCTCTATTATACATTATACTTGACAGCAGAGATTGTCTTTTGCCTTTCTTTGCATACTTAGAACAGCATTCAGTAACTGGTGTTTAATTGACTTATTGATTGTGATGACCTTATGTGATGTATGCTGTAGACAAGAGCTACAAAGCCCCAGCAAGTATGGATTGTGATCTTTAACGTTGAAAATGGCCATACTGATTAGATGAAGCATCTATTTGAGCATTTGAGCAAAAATGTAGAAAGTTACTAAAGTTGTGACAATTCGTCCCACCTACTCCCATTTTATATTTTTCTTATATGCTCTAGAATGCTACTTCCACTAAAATTTTATACTCCAATGCCTATCTTGTCAGATTATAGAGGTGACCCTGGTTTCTTGAGGACATCAGTGGAGCACATACTCTCCAGGAGGAGCTTAATGTATCTTGAATGGCTATCATTTAGAAAAGGTGGCCAGGATACTGAACAGGGAGAGACTTCCACAAGGTTGGCTACTGGGAGATTAATATGTTTAGCTGTAGCAACCCATGAAGATTCTTTTTATGTTGAAGAGAAAATTATTATCTGCATGGGTGGAGGAAGGAGTACCCACATTAATAAGGCAGGGAGCCTTAAGTTAATTTTCATGCCATGTCCATTTAATGACTTCATTTCTGGAATTTGTATTAGAACTGCATTACACAAATAATGTTTTCCATTCCTAATGGAAAATAAAATAAAATGATCTTTTTTTCTAATAGTTTTAGAGCCTAATGTTTAGCATATTCCCATTGTTGAGGTACAAGGCATGTATCATTTCAAAAGAATTCAGACTCAGACTGTTTCCAGATCTCGTAAACTAATTTTTTGGGGTAACACACCCAGCGGACTCTTCTCCTTAGGGGGAGGCAGGTAGCTGGGGTGAAAGTGGTTCTTTTATGGAGTAAGGTTGCCTAGAACTGGCTGACAGGAAAAATGTTAATTAGCTCTATGGTTACTATGGGGCAAGCAATGGCAGGTACTTCGAAGGCATTAAGTTGGAAAAGTCCCTCTGTGGTTGGTTTGTGGTTGATAATTAGGGGCCAGGGTGTGATTGGTTGATTCAGGGACCTCAGGGGTCTCATTTGGATAAAAGTTGTCAGGGACATTGCCTGGATCCAAATTCATGTCAAGACATTCCTCATCACCATTTTTATATCTGTATTTTTTTTTTGGAGGGGGGATGCTAAGTAATGGGGTTAAGTGACTTGCCCAGGGTCACCCAGCTAGTAAATGTCAAGTGTCTGAGGCCGGGTTTGAACTCAGGTCCTCCTGACTCCAGGGCCAGTGCTCTATCCACTGTGCCACTTAGCTGCCCCCCACCATTAATATTATTAATATTATCATGATTCTGCAAACAAGTTAAACCTTATGTATTACTAATATGATGACATGTTTAAATAAACTTATTATTCAAAAACTAGACATGTTCTAATCACATGGGAATAATCTTTATTGATGTCATGTCAGATATTTCAACATTAAAAAAAAAGATATGGTTTGGTCAGCAAAGATGGAGGGATGGTTCAAGAGTAGAAGAAAGCCCTTGATACAATGGAAAGAGCCCTGGATTGGGAGTGAAAATACCTGAGTTTATATCCCAGCTCACTTGCTATCTGCATGAGCTTCACCAAATCACTTAGCCTTTTGGGGCCTCATTTTCTTCATCTGTAACGGGAGACAGTTGGACTAGATAACTGTTAAATTTTGTGATCCTGTAGAAATTTGAAATGTCATCTTTTTCACTGACTCACTCTGATGCTAAGAAACTCACCAAGTACCTTGCTGCCAGTGTCATTCACGATATTAACTTTTCTATATCTATTCAGTTTCCTGTTTTTCATTTATTTACATTCGGTTACCAATCAGTTAACATTTATTGAACATCTACTATGTATTAGGCACTGTGCTAAGCTCTAGGAAGACAAAAAGAGGCAAAAGACAGCCCCTGCCCTCAAGAAGCTTATAGTTTAATGGAGGAGACAACATGCAAACCAATATATGCAAAGCAAGTAATACACAGATTAAATAGGAAATAATGAACAGGGAAGGCACAAGAATTAAGAGGGTAGAAGGTAGGATTTTAGTTGGGCCTTAAGGGAAGTCAAGGAAATCAGTAGGCAGAGTGAGGAGGGAGACCATTCCAGGCATTGAGAATAGCTAGAGAAAATGCTCAGGGCCCAGAAATGGAGTATCTTGTTCATGAAACATCCAGGGAGGCCAGTGTCACTGGATTGGTGAGAATGTGTCAGGAGGGAAGATAAGGTCTAAGAAGACTGGAAAGGTAGGAAGGGGCTAGATTATGAATGATTTTGAATACTAAACAGAACATTTTCTATTTGATCCTAGAAGGAATAGGGAGCCAGTGAAATTTATTGAGTAAGGGAGGGAAATGGTCAGACCTGTGCTTTCAATTTTCTGTTTCTGTTTTATGTCCATTTTAGGCATTTCCTATTTACTGTGTGACCCTGTGTGAGTCATTTAAGCTCTCCTAGCCTCAATTTCTGCAGCTGTAAAATGGAGATAATAATAATAATACCTACTTCACTGGGTTCTTATGAGAAAAGATATTGAGTCAGTTTTGGACATTAAGTTATCTGTAGGACATCCAGTTCAAGATGTCTATTAGTTGGAGATGTGAGATTAGAGAGGTCATGGGAAGTGAGTAAGTTAGGGAACTGAGATTAAGGTGATTGAGGGAGTATCAGTATGTATGTTGAAGGTCCCTCACATCAGGGCAGCAGTTGGGGAGTAGAGTAAGAATGTGAGCTAGACACTGAACTTGTTGAAGAAAGGAGAGTGTTCTGAAAGTTGGTAGGCAATAGTTACCAGAATTTTGATTGGGGAGTAGATGTGGTTTGAGTGAATCTCCAAAGGGTAAAGGTTATTGAGGGATGGAGGTAGAGGGAGAGCCTGAAAGTGGCAGTGGGGAGCAAAGAATATTCCAACCAC